TTGCCTTGTTACTTGTAGCGATGCCCTTGTTACTAGTAGTAATGCCCTTGTTACTAGTAGCGATGCCCTTGTTACTAGTAGTAATGCCCTTGTTACTAGTAGCGATTTCTTTGTTACTAGTAGTAATGCCCTTGTGTTTGCGCCTTTTGACCCAGTTTCACTTGGAATAGTTCTAAACGAAGCAGATGCGTTTCACTTGGCCTACGCTGCCCTTGTGAGTCAAACCTTGCGGGGAGGTCCGATGGAGGCCGTGAATTCTTGCCCTAAACGGATTGGAACTCTCTTCAATGAAAGCACATTGGAGATTTTCTAGCCATTTTGACTCAAGCCGCAGAATTGAAAGCCCAGCCAGCCCGGTTTCGTTCACAATTGCTGACAAGGGATTTCAACGATTGGTCAAACTGAGGTCAACCATCGAGGCCAAACCATGCAAGCGAAACTCGTTCGGAGCATGGACCCTGCCAACAGCTTTGAAAAAAAGGGACAGTGCAGGGTGCATCGTGTCACACAGCCAGGAAGAAGAAACACATAAAATAAAGTTCCCATTGCCTCAAAGCAGAAAACGAATCGAACATGGAAGCTGTATCTTTCGAAACACCGCTATCCTAAATAGTTGGCTCTCGGCACGACGTCTTGTTCACACACCACACACTTTGATGGGATAATATTTTGTCAGCTGGTTTGATACTGAAGGATGTAGTCAGGAACTCAAGAAGAAGAAGAAGAAGAAGAAGCAGAAGCAGGAGCAGGAGCAGGAGCAGGAGCAGGAGAAGGACAAGGAGCAGGAGCAGGAGAAGGAGAAGGAGAAGCAGAAGAAGACGAAGAAGACGAAGAAGACGAAGAAGAAGAAGAAGAAGAAGAAGAAGAAGAAGAAGAAGAAGTAGTCGGGTACTCAAGGATGTAGTTGTACACTTCCAACTTTTGTGCACAGCATGGACGCTTGCTCCTTTTCATGATCAAGCAGCGCAACACTTGGTATACATCCAGTGCAAACAGATGGGGAACATGGTGGACTTCCGGGTTAGTGCAAACCAAGAGCAGGTATGTCAATGTGGAGTGGGAGTCCTCATTTCGTGTTACAGCAAATCCATGGTGTCTTCGCTGGATAAGGACCATGTTACAAAGGATCATGCCCGGAATGGTCGACAATTGCAACGTCACGGTTTCTTTTCCACAGGCGCACGTGTGAGAAAGGATTACGTAGGGAATGCCCCAGGTTCGATGAAACCTCGGTAAAAACCAGTGGCCAACTCTGAGATCAGATCGATTTTCTTCAGCGGTCCCAGCAAATTTGCTACCTTACCTTCTCAAAGCAAAAACCAAAACAGCAAAACCTCACTGGTCATTCCAGAGACACATTGAAACTGGATCTCATCCGACTTGATCACCACTATCTGATCTATCTGGCTCAAGAACTGTGAGCCGGGTTCGCTGTACCGAGGCACCTGGGGAGTGCGAGGTGGAATTGAGGAAAGAACCAGACGTTCTGCAGATCAATTCCGTGGCCTTTCTTCCAGATCATTGCTTTCAGCCTTTCCAGGGGTTCTATAGTGCAGATAGTGCAGACGCAAGCAGCTGTTCGATCGTTTTAAAAGCGAACTATTTTATTTCAGCGAACTCTTCGTTCGCTGTCGTTGGCGGGTGCGAGTCCGTCGGTGGCTTCGGCGTCAATGCGCTGTGATCGATGGCGCCTCTCAGGCGCTTTGGAGTCAATGCCGCCGACGGCATGGAAGGAGGTCGTGATCGACGGGAAGGCTGGTGCTTTTTTGTGACATCGGTAGCGGACTCGCGATGGACTCGCAGTGGGTGGAGGGCCTCGAGGGCGAAAGAACATGTGCGACATGTGCAGGTGAAGTTTAAGGTGCCTGCTCATCTTGAACTCATCAAGAAGGTGGGCGGAATGGGGTGTGTGGCCCGGCAAAGGACCAGATGTGTTTGTTTGCTGTTCACCCCGGCTCACTCACCATTTCAGCGAAAGATTTGGCAACACATGTTACGATCTTCGAGCAACATCTATTTTATGCGGCAGAAGGCAGCCGCGTGGTACAAGTCTGCTCTTGCTTGGGACCTGTGGCCAGAACCTTTGCTTGATCTTTGCAGCCATTAAACTAGCATCTGCAAGCATTTGGTGCTCAAGGTGCAAAGTTGCGTATAATATCGTATATATAATACAAAGATCCTGTGCCATGGATTCCACCGAACATGTCCCTGATTTGTCGGAGGAGGAGAAAAGCTTCATCGTTTGTGCTTCGGCTGTGGTTCTTTTGGCGGTTGCTGTTGCATGCTACCATGCACGTGTGTACTGCAAACACCCTTACCGAAGTATTTTTCGCTTTCTCCGGCGAAGACATCATGTGACAGCGGGATCGAGGTGTTTGGCCAAGCAGGTTTGTGCAGAGAAGGCGATCCTCGCCAGGAAGTTTTCTCAGTATGCTGCCGCCATGTCCACATTCGGAGTCATTTCTATTATGTACAACATTCTGCTAAGGATGCCTCGATGGATGAATGGGCCCACCATATGGGGACTGCTTTGCAATGCTGTCATCTCCATTGCAATGACCCAGCTGCCCACAAGGTATTTATCCACCTCCTTGGACCTGTTGTGTATCGCATGGTATCTCCTCATGGGCTTTTGGCAGTCCCCTTGGACCATATCAATGGAAAATCTGTTTGCCATGAACTTCATTTCGTTTGTGGCCATTGCCATTCCAGTTTCAACCTTCGCCAAGCATTGTGCCGTGGTATTCTTCTGCCAGGTAGGAGTTTTGGTGTTGGTCGTTCTCCGTTTGGTCCAGGAGGACATGCCAGCAACAGCAGGCAGCATTGCAAACCCCCGCACCTTGGTATACACCAATTTGTTCTTTATAGGATGTGGAGCACTCGTGCACTTCCTCTCCAACAGTGCTCTTTGCCAACATGTTGAACTGAAGATCCTTTTCCATGACAATCAGACCGAGCTGAATGCTGCGTCGTCTCTTCTGGAGCTCACGTGCGATGCGGTGGTGCATCTGGACTCAGACTTTCGCATCAAAGACGACTCGCCGCAGCTGGCGGCGATCCTCTTCCGCCGTGCCGAGACGCTGAGAGGCACCAAGTTCACCGATCTCATCGCCGCCGGCGAGGCGCAATCGGCTGCGGAAGATTTATGGGCCGGGAGCAGAGCGGAAGCCCCGGCGCATGCCTTCCATACTCACCTGGTGGATGGATGTTCCAGCAAATTCAGGACAGAGATCTTCCAGGTGAAATACACCAAGATGAATGGGCAGAAATGCCATCTCCTGGGGCTCCGAGATTTTACTGATGACAAGCCCTTGGCCTTGAACAGCCCTGAGATGGCTGCTGCGGAAGCCGCAAGAGTTCCACGCCAAGTCTTTGCTGTTTCAGATCGTTCCGAAGTGCCCAGCTATGAGATGGGCTCTCTCACACTAAACACAGAGGAAAGCTACCAGGACCTACAACCGTCTCAACCAAACAACCGCGTGCTCAGCAATGGCATCGCGGAGCAATGCCTGCAGATCAGCAAGAAGAGTGTTTTCTTGGACATCAATGTAGATGAGAAGATTGTTAGTGCAGCGTCTGCCCCGTTTTCAGCCAACTTGGTTGGGCGGAGTTTGTGCGAGATCTTCCCACATGCCTTTACAGGTGAAATCATGCATCGCCTGTGTGACGAAGCGAGGGCCTTTGCGAAGCAAGAGCCCAATGCAGAGTTGCCTGACCAAGTAGCAGCATTCGAGGGGATGCCTCTTTTTGTGGCTCCACGGCACTTGGAAATTTCAGGCATGATGAAGGTAATGCTTAGAGACACAGGTCACCTGCATGTTATCCTGAGCTTTGCCCCACCGGTGAGTTCCCAAGGTTCCACCTTGCCAGGAACGCAGCTGGCGCTCTAGCGGCTCTAGCGATGTTCGACAAAAAATACCTTCCGCTCAAGACACATTCCGTCCAACTCAAGCCAGACATCCAAACGGCCTTGGGCATTGATTTTTTATCAGATCATATCAGATGTATTGGAATCCTGTGTTTTGGAGCTTGCTACCACACCTTTCTGAAACTTCTGCCAGGTGGGCTCAGGAGCATATGGCACCGTGGCCTCGTTTCAGGACCCAAAGACGGGCTCAAAGCTTGCGGTGACTTGGATTTCAAAGGACTGCATCCGTTTAAGCGGCTGATGACGATCATGAAGCCGGTGTTTGCACGGTTTTCATGTAAGCCTGCTTTGAATGGCTCCAACAATTCAACAATTTGCTCGATTTGGGTTTTCCAGACGAAGCACCAATCGACGCAAGGGGATTTGATTTGTTCATTCTTCTCTGGGATAATTCCACGAGGTCAAGAAGATTACAGATGCCTTCCACGATCTTGTGGATGGGAAACGGATTCTACGTGAGGCACATGGAGAAGAGGGAGACAGAAAACCGATCCAATAAACGCCGACAGCCCGGCCGTCGTCGATGAAAAACAAAGAGATGCCATCAAATGGGCGAGCTGACGAGGTTTCACTTGGGCTGATTCAAAGAAGTTCATTTCATTCCTCCCATTGCTGCTTTATTGATATAGAAATATAGATATCACTATATATGCTATATCACTATATTTCTACCAGATTCCGTAAAACTCAATCTCTCCTTTTGTGTTGGAGAACACTTTCCAAACGTGAGCATCATTTATGACCGTCAGGTACACGCAACTGCCGCATGTATGCCCTATGCCCTTTGCAGTTTTTGACAGGTGAAACTGCTGCGGAGCTTCAGGCATGACAATGTTCTGGGATCCCAGCCGATGATTGCTGGTGGATGCTCGTGGAGGGTTTGGGAGCACCCGTGCTGGCTTGGAATTCAGTTGGGAGTCTATTTTTTCTCCGCACGAAACCTACCAGACATTGGTTTGTGGACATTTGAATGCCACAACAAGATCCGTTTGCACTTGGAATTACAAACTGAGATATATGAGGCAAGATCAAACTCATACCAAATGGACCTAGTTTTCAAGGATTGAAGTGCAGACTCTTGCTGCTCAGTTCGCGAAAGCTAGCACCAGCTAGCTGGAATTGTTCTTGCTTTAGCAAGTGAGGGGCTGGAATCCTCGAGCGCCGCATCGCGTGAAAACTTCACATGTAGGGGGCCCCACCCTCCCCCCCCGCGGGTTCAACTCTTCCCTGGGACGTCTCCGGGACGTGTGTATTTCCGCTGGCAGGGGGCTGACTGTTCCTGTGGCGGCAGGATTTGGACCGCTTTCTCGCTCGGCTATCCCCCGCTTCACCCCATGCCCTGCTAGCTTTCGTCACCAACCCTCGGCCTCAAGTTGATGCATCTAGCTTTTGTGTTTACACAGCCGGGCATACTCATGGTCACCCAGCGGGGTGCAAAATCGATGCTGATGCTGTTGAACCATACTTGTGTAGATCATCCGACTACTGAGATCATCAGCATTCTGGACATGTATCCGCCAGGCGCGCATCCGTCGGCGGTTGTCGTCTAAAGCATCACCCGTCTTGTGCGATGGGTCGAAATCGAAGACGGACGGGGATGGTCCGAGGCGATCCTTAAATAGTGATATTGTGTCGTTGCACCAAGGACCTGAACTGAGCTTTAAAGTAGGGGAATCTGTCTATCAGAAATCCTGTCTCATTCTTTCTCCTTCAACGGACAAGCTTTCCCGGACAAACCTTGACCTGGTGGCAGCAATCGTTTCAAGCGGTGAAGGCCGATATTTGGCACACATGGTTTGTTACCAATTCCTCGTCAGTTTGAGCTATTGAACGCATTTATATCTACTGTATATAGATCTCATCCTCTCCAATAGTGTTTTCCCACTTGGGCTTGACGCGATTTGTAGGGTCTGCAAGATGTAAGTCATGTACAGTACGCGTTGCCACAGTAAGCGTTGGCTCTCTCACCTGGCCAGAACATCCCGACTTTGAAGACATCTACATCGTCCGGTCCCCTGGACTTCGACGCACAGCGGATGGCCAGGTTTCTTTTTTCAGCCGTTCGAGCTGCCGCAGCCTATGAAAACGAATCCAACGTGGCTTTGAACAAACATATCCCTTGAATTTTTCGGACTCATTTGCTCATTTGAGGTCACTGATTTGATGGAGACCGACCTGCACAGAGTGATCTACTCCAAACAGGCCGGCCGGCAGGCCCTTGGGACCTCAGCTCTTTTGAGGTCCCAATTCTTTTGACGAGTGACACATGAAAGGCTGAGGTGATGTGTTTCCTTTCTGGAGAAGCAACAAATTGGACGTCTCCGGATTTGCAGTTTAGATGCATGACTAGTTACGGCAAGTTGCTAGCTGCTCGAGCGAGCTTCTAGAATGCTGATGGGTCTGAAACAAGGGTGGCTTGTCTACATTCCAACACAACCTTTCGCTCTGTCAGGTCTTGAATGATGAGCACCATCAGTGCCTCACTGTTTGGCTTTAAACAGCCCGGTTTCGAGAATGGCCAGATTCTTACGTTTGACTTTTGCGTTGGTGGTTCGAGGTACTTCTCCTATCAGATCCTCCGCGGACTTCTATATCTGCACAGTTGGGGCCTTATCCTTTGTTTGAAAAGCAATTGGCACTCGCCTATTTTGCCGAGTGGACAGTGGAAGTTTCAGGACGACGGTGCGCGGACAGTCTCCTCCTCTTTTCGCATGGTGAGGTGCCAACGTGGTGCACCGGGATTTGAAGCCCGCGAACATCCTGGTGCCCCGGTCGCCGATCCAGGAGTCGCTGGGTAGACTCGCAGGTCTTCGCGTCGGCTGATTGGTGCAAAGACCGATGAATCCAATGGGCCCTCGGACGTCCCAAACAGTTGATTCATTTCCACCATGGCAAGTTCTATGTCGTGTTTCGGACCGGCTTACCGGCTATCCATGAAACGGGACGAGGTTTCTTGGCACTTTTTGTTTCTTTTACTCTTCCGCACGCATACGTAGAAGCAGAGAGGCAAAAACATAGATTGGGATATGCGGAAGCAGAGCCTCAACCAAAGAAATGCCACTAACTTAGAAAGCATCTCTGCTTGACTTCTGCAGCATCTGCAGTGCCAGGTTAGTGGTAAAATGATTGTTTCTTGCAAAGCCCACTAACCTAGAAGTCACAAATTTTGGCAGGGTCACAGGTCTATCCTGGGAAGAGATGTGTATGTGTCTCAATTTCTCTGGTTCCTTGTTAGCTGTCGTTGGCCTGGATGTCGGGTTCAATGCTGCATGGAGGATGTACAGTAGCCCCGAGCCAAATGACGTACTGTACTGCACTGTACAGTATTTTGGCACGTAGTCATAAAGCAGGTTAAGAATGCTACAGGAAAGCCAACACACACAGTACGGGTTCCATGTTAGTGATGGAAACTGTGCATTTCCAATGATTTCATTCCACTTCCATGTTAGTCTTCTTTTTTACATTTCTTAGACATTTCCCTAACATAGCAGTCAGAAATATAGGTTTGCGGTGCCATGTATTTAGGTCTTCTTTGGTTCCTGGCTTCCATATATATGTGCAGAAGTGTAAAAGTCAAAGCCAGAACGTGGGATGCTCAGATGCTGCAGACATGCACCCTAGGATTTGTTTTTTCTACTGCGGCATACTGCGGCCACTATGACATCAAGTTCTCTTTAGTTCCACTTACCCGCGGGAAATGCGTGAAGGCGAATCCAATATGGGACATGCGCAGCGTATTCCAGCCCACTAAGACGGCTTGCAGCCACCCTTTTTGGACATATTTCAACTGCTTGGGATATCTATGAACACTCACAACCTCAGGTTGAAGACATGTGACCTTGAAAAGCTGAGCTCTGCCAACCTTTCCTTCGATGGGCCAAGGTGAACAAAAACTGCGACCTGAAGATTTGCGACTTCGGGCTGGCGCGCGGCCTTGGCAATGACGAGGCCGGGCCCAGTTCGAGGGCATTGGGAAGAGTCATCATTTGAGGTTTAGGAAGTTTAGGCGTTGCCTCGATCTTGATTGCATGGCGAGAGTCCGTGAACTGATCTCTAGTGCCCTCACAATGACACTTTTCCAGATCATTCCAATACAATGCACCGAAAGGTGTTGGTTCTTCCCCCTGGTGACCAGGCATCTTGATCTGCAAACCCCGCCTCAGCCGACTGCCATCGGTAGAAATGTAAAAACCCCCGAGCCAGGATGATCCAACCTTAACGGACTACGTGGTGACCAGATGGTACCGAGCGCCTGAGGCCACACGAGGGAATCCTTTTCTTTGAGCTGGCATGTCCTTTTTGTAGAAGAACTAAGAACATGTGGTAGTTTCATGCCAAATTGTAGTTCCAGTATGTTTCAGTATTTCACTTCATTGGCTTATGAAGAATTGTCGGCTTCGAACCCAATTCATTTTTTTGCAGGACCAGTTCAACATGTTCCCTGCCGCTGCGGCAGGTCGTACTGCTGGCGTCAGAGTACACCAAGTCCATTGACGTGTGGTCAGTAGGGTGCGGTCCCTGGCGGCACATGAGCTACGACCATGGCCCCCCCAAATGGATGGTGGGCATTACCATGATTACAATCATCCAGTCTCCGGGATTGCTACCGAACTGGCCGGGCCGGTGTCTTCATCACATCCTTTTTGCGGACTGGAGCCTTTGCATCTCATCTCAAGCCTTTGAAGCCAGCAATGGTTATTTGATAGGACTTTTTTGTGCAGATGAACAGCTAAGCAAGACCGTTTTCCTGACAGTGTGGCCCTCTCAGTTGTATTCTTTGCGAGCTCATCGGGCGAAAGCCAATCTTCACCGGCAAGGAGGGCTGATGACCAGAGACTTTTGCGTGCTGTCAATGTCAATGCTTGTTTTTGTGTTGTAGTCCCAATGCTAAAGCAGCTAGAACTCTCCCGCGCCCTTTTGATAGAGAGACTGCTTGAATTCACTGTCATCATGAAGGAACCTGTAGACCCTTCGATTCGCTTCATGTGGCAAAACCATTGCTTGAGATTGTACAGGAGGACTTCCTCTCTCCGCTCTTGTGAGGATCACTTGGACCAGATTAAGAAGATCTTGCAAGTCCTTGGTACTCCCTCCGAGGCGGGAAACCCGGGAACCTTTGTCAGTCTTTCCATATCAGAGAACATGTTCCACCCCTTGGGGCCACATGGGCGCAGTTGCGTGGCGCCTTGGGGTCAGTTGCGTTGAAGTCAATGCTCTTGTGACTTACATACCCATGTCGCAGGATGACTTGGCGTGGCTACCTCCTCGGAGTCCAGCGCGGAACTTCATCAAGAAGGCCAACGCGCAGCCGGAGTGAAGACGCGTAGCTGAGGTTTAGGCTCTCGTGGCTTCTCGTACTTCTAGAGGTGTGGATGGACGGGTTGGGAGGGAAAACAGTGCCTCAAAGACCTTCCTTAGTGAGCTCCGGAGCCAGGTGCTTTCCGGATCGGTCTCCCATGGTCTCCCGTACTTCTGTGACCAATCCAAATCTGGAAAACGTGAAGCTTCTAGTGTTGGAACAGAATTGACAATCGTCGGAGGCTTCTAGATGTCTTCCAGATCCAAAGTCTCACAAGAAAGACAGACACCTCTGTAAAATTTACCAGCATACCTGCCTTTGCTTGTGCAAACAGACCTCTCTGATTGTGAGAAGAGCTTAGTAGCATCTTCAGGACCTGAGCGATATTTTGTCTAGCAGGTGCCACCCTCGACTAAGCAGAGCTGGAAGAGCATTTATCCCAAGGCTCGTGAGCAGCTTTGGGGCAGAGTTGCATGAATACACAGTTGTACAGTATGTGGCAGAATCGTCAAAGTCTGTTTTCCAGGTCCTGTGCTACTGGCTTCACACCAAGATTGACCAAGATTGGAGCACAAGAATCCAAGCGTTCTGGGGGTTCGTGTCCACCAGCAAAAGTTGGTTCAAGTGGGCTTCATGAGCTCATTTCTTTCTGGATTTGGACGTCAGAATCTTCCGCATTTTGAAGCATGCACAGGCGACAGAGGCTGGTATTGAAGCAATTGAGAAGATGCCTGGTGCTCGGGGAAAAGGACATCGCTTCCCCAGCCTTTCCCTTTCGTTCTTGTACGAGCTACAGAAAGGGGTGCGAATGAGAAGTTTGCGCCTACCACAGAAGACCTTACGCTCCCTTGCATCTCAAGAAAGTTGCTTGTGTCAGTTTGTTGTCAGGGTAAGCACCTTTCCCAGGCTCACATTCGACCCAACCAAGCGATCGACGATCGCTGAGTGCTTGGTCCTTCGGTGCGCTTTGACCCGCCGGACCGCAAAACAGGGGTGGGAGATGGTTGATCTGAGGCATTCGAGGGGGATGTGCCAGGCTGAGTTTGTGCAGAGGACTTCTTCAGTCCCCTCGCTATTAGGAGGCCATCGCTATTGGGTTGGAGGCCATCGCTGGTAGGTTGGAGGCCATCGCTATTGGGTTGGAGGCCATCGCTGGAGGTTGGAGGCCATCGCTATTAGGTTCTGAGTGTATGGGGAGGTGTTGCTTGGATTTGTTTGACCTCGATGCACTTCTTCAGTCGCTCCAGCGACTGAAGAGACAGGTATTATGAAACCTTGCACATGCCCGACGATGAGCCGGTCTCGGAAGTGCCAGTAGATTGGACCTTTGACAAGCTCCTGGTCTTGCAAAAAAGAGCTTGGGCGGTGTATGATGGTGTGAGATGTGTGCAAGACTGGACTGTTGGATGCCAAGGGAATCTGCGTGTCAATGATTTGTCAAGTAAAGATATCAAAAAGAGCTTTGGAGAGCTCCAGCATTCCTTGCCAGTTGAAGATGTCTTTGACCAGTCAGCTGATAAACGCTAAAGCCATGGAATCCGAACAACCGAAACGAATACTGGTGATTCGTGTCCATGTTTCGTTATGAGCTTTATGGTTTCGTCGCGGTACGCTTGGCTTTGCTTTGTAGATCAGCTCTCGCCCAGATTTACACCGACCAAGAGATTGCTGCAGAATTTCATCTATGCAGAGTCCACAAGCTCAGCGGGACAGTGGGAAGAGCCAAGAACCATGCACGGCTTTTCTTTCGGGAAAACATGGCGACACTCCTTTTGCTGCTAGATTCTCCCTTCAGAGTCGCTGCAGTGATGCCCCATGGCTCCTGGCAACAGCTTTTGCGGCTTTTGCCCTTGAGATCCTGGCAAAGCTCTTGGCCAATAGTAGTATTGGAGGGGTAAACACCCATTCTTCATCAACCACTGGGCTTACGCATCAAAGAGAAATCATCCGGACACGTTTGCCCGTCCATTTCGGCCACGAGCGGATGTAGCTCTGCGACCCCGGTCATCCTTTCTGCTCCGTCCGATCAGAGCCGAACGTGGCTGACAGTCTCGCCTCCCAGGTGCTGGAAGTTCCACCCAGAGATCGCCCAACGCGACGCGAAGGTGCGACCGGGGTCGGTCGGATACACATAATTTGGCCATCCTCTTGGCCCTACCCGGTGACCAACAGGTGGTTGTGCCTTGGAGAAACCTTCGCATGTTTGCTTTGGGAGTTTGAGGTTGTTGCAAACATTTTGGTGAACTGGCTGCGGTATCAACAACTCAATGACCCTTCTATTCGGGGAGGCACCTGTGTATATACGTGAACTTATACGTAGTTGAGCGCGTAGTAGATTTCAATGCACATCACAGAATCTCTTTTGCCACCAGTTGCTGGACTCGCGGGAGATTACAAAGCTCCTGCAGTGAGGCCTGGGAGAAAATGTCGGTCTGGGAGAAGTGGTCCATGACTTTGCAACTTCTGAACATGCTGGTTCCAGATTAGCCTTTGAACACTGGTGCAAGCACACAGGTTGATCAAATTGGTTGAGGGTCGACCAACAAGGAATGGAGAAGAACCGAACCTCATGTTGGCCATGTTGCCACGCTGTTTCAACTGGAGCTGAGCTGAAGCCGGCAAGCATTGGTCGGTGGGAATGAGACAACAATGCCAAGCTGCATTTCATTTGGTCCTAGCTTGAAAGTCTAAAGAGCAAACACTTGCTGCCGTTAGGCTTCTTCCCTGCGATAGGGGGTCATCATACCCTTCATCAAAATAGCCCTGGTGGAGCACCTTGATTGTGCTGGTGCCCGGCCAGGATCGGCCAAAGCGCGGCCTGACATGGGTGCTGTTTCTGGGGGCCGAAGGTGAAGAGAGATGAACTGATGAACTATGGTTGGGTGCATCTCCAATATACTGTAACGTGTTTTTGCGGGGTGGCAGCTTCGGACGGTAGATTCCGCAGATTTCTTTTAACCAAGGCTGCTGGATCCATTCCGGTCTGCGATTTTGGTGCTTCCAGTTGTTTGGGATCACTTGATCTTGGGACAATGGGGATTGAAAGGTATGCTGAAAGCTGGCTACGGATATTCCCATAAAGCTGTGTGAGCAAGACTTTCTTGGGGTTCCTGAGTTGTACAGGTGCCAGGCTCCAGCTGCATGTCTTCTGTACATGATTAGATGATATCAGATGTGTTTTGAGCTGTACCAGTTGCTGATTTTCGGGGCGGATTTCGAGGCGCCCGGAAAGATTCAATCTGCTGTACTAGGCACTTGCTGTACTACGCACAGCGTCGAGTTCGGGCAGCACAGGTGCCAGGTTTGCCGGCTCTGTGTGCGTCTGGCCACAAATGTGGCGGCCGTGCTGATGTGAAGGATGGCGGCTTTCGGAAAAGGATCATTTTTGGCCTCTGTACCGCATTGTCGTTCAGGTGGATGTGGAGACCATTCCGTGCTTTTGGAGATGGAGCAAATTGCTCCAGGACATCTCGTCAGCCTGGAATCTGTTGAATGTGTTTGGTGCAAGAGATGGCCATCAGCCGGCCCGGGCTCACCGTCCGTTGCGTCCGAAACAAAGCAGCGGCAGCTCTGCGCTGTTCCGCCAGCGTGGCATGGAATCGTTCCTCCTCTGAAAAGTGAAGAGCATCCAGATCTTCTCGTTTTGACCGGTGATGAAAGGGTAGAGTGGCAAGTAGATGAACGGCCTTGCATGCTGGCGGCACATGTTAGGTTGGAAGCAAATGGTTAGAGCGACGTCAATGGCGCGATCCTTGCTTAGAATCGAGCCAGCTGAACACAAATTCTGCCCACAAACTTGCTAAGGCTAAAGAGAACTCATGACTCATGACTCTTTCCTCGTCAATAGACTAGACGCCTGCTTTCTTTGCGAACTTATTTCCTAGCGATGGGCAGTGACGGAGCTTTTGATGGGGTGGGGCTCTCATCGACACTGCTTTCATCTCCTTCCTCTCAAATGTCTTGAGCACATGAATTGTAGACTGACTAGACCACCTGGCACGATGATCAATTGCTAAAAACGGTTTTGGCCATTTCATGATCCGTGAGTATACAGTATGATGTGTATATATATATATATGTGCAAGACATGTGCACAGATAGTTTGGCGAACAACTTGTGGGAATCCAGCTTTGGTTTCTCCGATTGGATGGCGCCATCGGTGCCGAACTAGCGGACTTCTCCCACGGTGCGATGCCTGACGGCACCGGCCCGTGTTGAAGGTGTTGCGACTCACCTGAAGTCGCCGCAGCTGGAGAGGGAGGGGTTGGACCAGGTTGGAGAGATGTGTGGCTAATGAAATCCTGAGACCACCTGATCATGTGTTGTTTTTTTTTGGTGGTAACAAGAAGCTACTAGGAACAAGTGCCACGCTAGTAGTAACAGGTGCCTTACTAGTAGTAACAAGAAGCTACTAGGAACTGTGTGTGCAATGTTAGGTCAGAAGATTCTGTCTCCTTTGTCCTGGGTCTTTCGAACACTCTGTGCTCCAGCTGTGTGGCCGCCACTGGCCACCAGCGTCGGCAGTTAGTGGAAACATGCATGATTGGAAAAATATAAGTAAATAATTTTTTGGCAATGAACCTATGATGATTTCCAACACGAGGAAACCAAACTTTTAATGATTTTGACATTGGGCTTTGCCTTGCATACGGCTATATATTTTTTGGGAAAATATGGCTGGGGAATGAATTAAACATTAAGGAATATTCATTTATTTATTTTTATATTTAATAAATAAATATATTTTTATTTATTTTTTTTTTTTGGGAATTGCTTTCGGATTTTGCATTTGATGCGTTTTTATATTTGTTGTTTTTGTTTTAATTGATTTATTTTTATTTTTGGATTTATTTTATTTTAAATATTTTATTTTTTTATTATTTTTTTATTATTTTTTTATTTATATTTTTTGATTTTTCGTTTTTGTATGTTTTTTTTCTTTGGTAATTGTTTTTTATTTTTTGTTTTCTATTTTTTATTTGTTTGTTTTTAATTTTTGGATTTGGTGTGTTAAGGGGGGGGAATATTGTTTTTCTTTAATTTTTTTCGTTTTTTCGCGTTATGATTTTTTTTTAAATTTATATTTCCGATATTCATTTTTATTATAAAATTAATATTTTAAGATGAATTTTCCGGGGTATAAATTTCTAATTAATTATATATTTTTTATATTATTTTTTTATTTTTATTTATTACCATAGGAATGATTTTGTTATTTATATTATTTTAATATATTTTGCTAATTACGATAATTTTTCGATTGATTTAATTAATTAGCAATTAATATGAATTTTGCATTATTCTAAGGTATTTGGTTAATTACGACCAAGGATAAGAAATTGTTGTAATTAATTAGGTATTAATAAGATTTTTTTTTTATTCTAAAATATTTGGAAAACAAAAATAATGGAAAATAAATGAACATATAGAAATTAAACGTGTACGCAAAAGGAATGATTATATATAGATATGGATATATATATATTTTATATTTTGAATTGGACAATTGAACAAAATAATATATTTTTGTACTTAATTATATATATTTGAGGTTGTATAAATATATGAAATATGCATAGTTTTTATTTATTTATATTGGAGATTGTATTGAATTTTAAGGATTATAGAAGGATTCTAGAAGGATAAGGTTTAGATTTATGATATTATGGGTGGTGTAGAGGGTAATTTTCGGGCGATGATTTTAATTGACTATTTTAATAGAATTATAGATTTATAAATAAATGGAAACTAATTATTGAAGAGAAGGATATAGGCGATAGAAATTGCATACGGACATTATTGCATACGGATATTACGATAGCTATTTGAATTTTGATAGGATTAAAGGTCTAAAGACAAAAAATATAATTGGTATAATTTATTTCTTAAGACTGGAATTTTTGATTTTACGATTCGAAAAGAAGAATTTACGAAAGCGATCTCCGAAGGAGGTTAGTTAAAATTCTAATTTACGATTAGATGAGTCAAAATCGACGGGCTCAATTGAAAAAAATACTTAAACGGCCTCCCCTCTACACTTGGTGTGAAATGAATTAATAGATGTTCCCCCCTTAACGAATTGAAGCGATAATGACCCCCCCTAAAGGGACACGAAATCTTAAACATAATCTTAGGGGATTATTTTTAGAGAGCTTGAAGTTATGCGGGTGTGGTTTTTACGCGCTTTTGTTGTGTTTTTCTTAGATTTTGTCATGTTTTGAACGAATTTTCAAGGTTGCGGTCTAGATATACTCTTGTACTCCTGTTTCCCAAACACACCAATTTTATTTAAAACAACATCTGGATCCGACTCTAGCCTTCCTTCCCCATAAGCATTCTCATTGTTGCAAAGGTAGCACTTTTTGGGCTTCTCCCTCCACATTCTTTATGAAATGGGCTTCTCCCTCCACATTCTTTATGAAATGGAGAGAAGATCATTATCTTAAAGCACAATGTGCCTACCAGGCCCAACAAAAATTGAGAAACTTGCTTGGTAGTATTGGACCTGGATGATTGATTGGAATTGGGCTTTGCATGGCCTTCTTGACGCCCATATCCATAATCAGGGTCATAGGCAACCATTCTGCGAGCATTGGGAGTTCACATCCTATCCCATAAGTTCGATTAGACCAATCCTGCTCATCTCCACTGTTCTCACCCAATGGCTCTTCAGGTCTATGCTCCATATCCCCCCATCTACGACGAAATCTTCCAAAGAACCTTATGAAGCCCATGGAACGATCCAGCTATACATACACTAAGGGTCTGAATTGGCTGTGTGGCCACTACTCATTCCCAAGCTCATGAAGAACCTTCTCTTCACCCCAACCTTCTTGCCCACACATAGACATACATGAAGTCAGGTTGTACCAAACCTGACATGCTCAGCATGCTCCCAATGTTCACCCAATATTGCCAAGGACATTTTTCCCGTGATGTCACCCAAGCTCAAAACCTCATTGGACCTCACCAACACCCACCCAAAAGTAAACCAATAAATTGGGCCAAAAATATGCTCTACCAATAGCATGAATCATGAGGACCAACCAATGCTGTACCCAAATGGTTCTGATCTTCCATTGGGCCACCTAACCATGCACACAAACCCATTTGCACCAGGCATTCGATGGACCCCATCCTCATTGATTGCCTAACAAATTTCCCTCTCATATGGTGCCCATGTGCTCTTGGAGGCCAAACAAACCCAATCGAAGCACCATCCATATTGCGCTGCTGTCTGGGGCATTTGCTCAATGGCTGTATAGCAATACAATTTGCTCAAAATCAGGATCCCCATCTCTCATGCCCAGGTGTTGCGTCTATGCAGCCGCCTTTGGTCTCAAATGAATTGCATACATACAGCCACAACCCCAATGCCAGCTGTTTGATGCACCCAATGCTTCATCTCATCTCATCTCATCTCATCTCACTTCATCCACATTGGAAGTTCCATTTTCCTATGCTCTCTAGCTATATGCCCATCTCCAAATAAAGACACTCTTCCACACTCCACCATTGAGACCATACAATATAGGTATTCACCCTCACCACATAGAGCTTGAATCCTCCATTCCTTCTCCATGTTCTGATAGGCAATGATCCAATTGGCATGGCTCTGATCTCTCAGATCTCTCATCAAGCTTTTGCAAAAATACTAGCTGCTAGCTCTCATGATTCCCACACAGAAATCCATCAATCATCATCTATCAAAGTTCAGGACATCACACCAGACATCATCAGATCATCACCTCTATGAGGGGGATCTTATCTCCAAGACCTCTAATCTCAATGAGTCCTCAATCTCCAGCAACTGGGCTTGCCGGGCTCCTCCCCGAGGGGGGGGGGCGAAAAAGAAAATGCTCGTGGCAACCATTTTTTTTCGCCCCCCCCCCCCAGAGAAGCCCAGGCCCAGGCCCCAGTTGCTGGATCTTGGAGACCAGATCTCCCTCGTAGAGGTGATGACCTGATGATGTATGATGGGATGTCGTGGACTTGTTGATAGATGATGGTTGATGGACTTCTGTGTGGGAATCATGAGAACTAGTATGTTTGAATAAGATTGATGAGAAATTTGACAGATTACAAGTCGACATTTTTGCTAGACACGTTCTTCAACACAACTAACATTTTCAAAAAAAAACGCAGAAAACCACAAATCACAGAAGCGCGTAAAAACCACACCTGCATAACTTCGTTTTCTGTATTATTAAGATGTTTTTACGATCGTCGTCGTTATTACCGTCGCGTTGTCGTTATCGCTTTCGTTCCCCCGCCTCTTAAGCGCCGATATGGCGTGCATGTTTTTATATGGTTATTCGAACAATATTTAATATCCTTTGATATTTTATCGAATATTTCGCAGATATCGAAATAGATAGAATTCATTATTGGAAATTAACAACTTTTTGATGAGATAAAATCGCAATTCATTGTTATATAGTCTTTTGGCAAGATTGTTAAAGAAGCGATCTTTGCCGATATTGAAATAGATTTCAGGA